ACTTATCCATTTGTGAAAGTTTTCCTTTTACATAAGTTTTTCTTATATTCAACTGAATGCTTGTTTAATAAGCAAAAAACCACATTTTATAGTGCAATGGCACTCAAGGGAGAATATTTTCTACCTGTGAAGTTTTTTCTTTCATTCATTTTCCAAGGCACAGTGCTTGCTGGGAGAGATGTCTGAAGGCAGGATGATCAGAAGCAGGGACTAGCCAGCAGTTTGCTCATTTCAGTATGTGTTAAATCATCTGATATGCCTAGAGGGGAGATGTGTCAATTGATTAATGGGTCAGAGTATTGATTTTATGTTTTCATATTGCTAACAGGAAATTAAGCTTCCAGATATAATCAGTTCCACATGTCTCTTATTTTCAGACAGGCACATAATTAAAGTAACTACACAGTTCATTGAGGTTAGAGTTCCATGCTTGATGCAAGACTTTATATTTGTTATTTAAAAGCAGCGTGATGATAGACATCATTATCTAAAGTACATGTATGAAGACATTAATTGGTGTGAACATACTTTATATACAAACAGAGGTATGAAAAGTTGTTCTATATGTGTAATAAGAATTGTGATGCATTCTGCTGTCATGTATTTAAAAATTAAACCAATAAAAAAAAGAAAAAAAGATTTCATCTCACTTTAGTCAGAATGGCAGCTATTATGAAGACAACAATAAGTGTTGGCGAGGATTTAGGGAAAAAGGCACACTCATAAATTCTGGTGGGACTGCAAATTGGTGCAGCCAATATGGAAAGCAGTATGGAGATTCCTTGGAAAACTTGGGATGGAACCACCATTTGACCCAGCTATCCCTCTCCTCTGTCTATACCCAAAAGACTTAAAAAACAGCACACTATAGGGACACAGCCACATCAATGTTTATAGCAGCACAATTCACAATAGCTAAACTGTGGAACCAACCTAGATGCCCTTCAGTAGATGAATGGATTAAAAAATGTGGCATATATACACAATGGAATATTACTCAACAATAAAAGAGAATAAAATCATGGCATTTGCAGGCAAATGGATGTAGTTGGAGAAGATAATGCTAAGTTAAGTTAGCCAATCCCCAAAAAATAAATGGTGAATGTTTTCTCTGATATAAGGTGACTGACTCATAGTGGGTTAGAGAGAGGGAACATGGAATGAATAGACGAACTCTAGATAGGGCAGAGGGATGGGAGGGGAAGAGAGGGGGCAGAGAGTTAGCAATGATGGTAGAATGTGATAGATATCATTAACTAAAGTAGAGGTATGAAGACATGAATTGGGGGCTGGGGATGTGGCTCAAGTGGTAGCGCACTCGCCTGGCATGTGTGCGGCCCCGGGTTCGATCCTCAGCACCACATATAAACAAAGATGTTGTGTCTGCCAAAAACTAAAAAAAAAATAAATAAATATTAAAAAATTCTCTCTTTCTCTCTCTCTCTCTTTAAAAAAAAGACATGAATTGGTGTCAACATACTTTATATACAAACAGAGATATGAAAAATTGTGGTCTATATGTGTAATAAGAATTGTGATGCATTCCACTGTCATGTGTTTAAAAAATAAAAGCAATTAAAAAAAGAAGCAGCATGGAACCATTGTATAAGTACGTTTGGGCTTGGAGTGAACTGACCTTTAACCTTGGCCCTTCTACTCTCTAACAGTAAATCCAATAATGAGGCTTATTTTAAGGACTTTTAAAAACTGTAGTAATTTCAACAAATGGAGATGATTTAAATATTTTATGAAACATCAAAATAATAAAAATCCTATAGTGCTGTTCTCATTGCATGCCAGAGATGATTATGATGCATCATATGTGCAAAAATCAATTTACTAAACAGAATTTACAGAGTAGCCTGGCGCAGTGGCGCATGCTTGTAATCCCAGCTGCTTGGGAAGCTGAGGCAGGAGGATCTCCAGTTCAAAGCCAACCTCAGCAAAAGCAAGGTGCTAAGCAACTCAGTGAGACCCTGTTTCTAAATAAAATACAAAATAGGGCTGGGGATGTGGCTCAGAGGTCAAGTGCCCTTGAGTTCAATCCCTGTTTCCCCCCTCCCCACCAAAAAAAAAAAAAAAAGAATTACAGAGTAATCCTTTTTTTCTTATAGAGTTAAATAACTCTCTCCTCCAACCCTCTAAAACAACATCACACAGTATATAAGTGTTTAGTCTAAAAATATCATATACTTTTTTTGGAATAATTTAATGTTTATTTGGATAATTGAACATAGCTTGCTAGAAATGAAGTTGGAAGCCTATATTCTTTGATTCCTGTGGTTTTCCTTTCCCTTCTGTTTTTTTTTTGGATGTATTGAGTAATTTCAGGACTATTATAATGAATCTTTTTCTGTGTGAAAAAGATGAATATTTGACCACGGGTGGTTTTCTTTTTTTTTTTTTTTTGGTAGGAAGCATGTGGATTGACACCCTTTGAAACTTTAGTATTTCATAATATGCAGGTTCTTTTCTTGTTTATAGAAATACCCAATTCTTGTTTGAAATTTATTAAACAGTGTGCCATCTGTATGCCTCCCCAGATTCCATAGGTTATGTGACCTTTAAAAAAAGGTTGCCTTTGACCTAACTTTTAGTATGAACTCTTCCGTCTGGAACCTTCTTTTTTGTGTACTTGTTCAGTGCTCAGTGTACTTCAGCACTCTGTTATTAAGTATTAATTATGGACACTGGCATTCTCAGGAATAATGACAATAACTAAAAATAACATTAGATTGAACAGAGTGGTATTTTCCAGAGAATAGTTTGAAATTGGTGAATAATCAATCCATCATGGCTTGCTGGTGCTACTGCTGTGTGTGTGTGTGTGTGTGTGTGTGTGTGTGTGTGAGAGAGAGAGAGAGAGAGAGAGAAAGAGAGAGGGAGAGAGAGAACATTATTGAAGAGTGGGATAGTTGGATAGTTGTTGCACAGGGGAAATTTTTATAGATGATGATTGTAATCATATAATTAGCACACTTGTGAAGTTAAAAAAGAAAAAAACACCCTTTTTTGATATTTCATATAACATTTCTTCTTGTAGGTTATGATTGAGAGTTTGTTGACAGTACTTGGTGCTGAGAGATCACATGATTGGTTCTGGCATACCTGTTTCTAGGAAATGTATTTGGATGGGAATTATGTTACTATTTTAAAACAAATTGATATGAAATTTTTAAATTTACTGATTGAGTTATGGAACACCCCACAGCAGGATATTTATTTTTTAAAGTCCATTCCAAAGTACATAGACGTCAATATTTTAGGCATCTGTATACTTAACACTAATCAATTTAAATATTATTCTCTGGTGCTTTTTTATGGATTTAATTTTTGTTACCTCTTTCCCTTAATTCCCCCGCCCCTGAATTAGACTAATGTTATTATAATAGTTTCTATAACTTAGTTTAGAAAACTTAACAAAAATAACTTGGTTCAATTAGTTTTTATTATGGTAGATATTGTGGGTATTTAACAAAAAAAGTAGTATCAGACATGGTTTTGGTTTCCAGGTTGAAAAGCTAGGTAAAGTGAACATTCTTAAAATAGTTGAGACCATTGGAGTGTTCTGGTGTATCTCCCAAATAATAAGGGAATAAGATGTTCAGAGAAAATTTAAATATCAAATAAGGATAATTGGAATTTAGAGGGACCTTAGAACAAAGTCAGTAGAGGAGATGACATCCCAAATAGGAACAAACAGTATGAATAAAGAAATCATTTAGACATGTGAGGAGATTATTAAGTAGCCTTAAATGAGAAGATTAGAGGATATAGCATGAATAGTTGTATAGTTAGGGCAGAAAGTATCCTTAGGTAGGGAGTGATCACATTAGGGAAGGATTTGAAAATAAGAGTGGGTAGCTGGGAAGTATGAATAGCTTGTCTTTGCAATGGATTGGTAAGATAAACATTTGGAGGGTTGTTTTAGAATTGGTGGACAAGATAAAACCAAAGACAATTCAAATAGGCATCTATTTCAGTAGTCTGGGTAAGTTAGTGAGTGCCTGTGTTAAGAGAATGTTAGTGGAAATAGGAAGGGATAACTAAGACACATATTTACTGAAAGAAAGTTGGTCATTAGCATATATTTCACACATTATTTGGTGAGTAAATGAGGGATTGGGAGTGGGAATGAATATAGAGAATAAAAGATATAATAATGATCATTTCCTCCTTTATATTCTGAGAAATACTATTGATAGAAGATGGATAGATTTTTAAAAAATCTAGGTAGAGGGAAATGTGTTCACTTTTCACGTATTGAATTTGAATGGATTCTACAAGTAGAAGTAGTCTTATAAGTAATTGGATATATGACTTTGGAGCATAGTCAATTAATTTAGGGACAGAGATGTTGATTAAAGATGTATATATCATTGGTCCTCTGTATCTCTGTGTTCCATATTCAGTTGATTTAATCAACTGAGATAGAAAACATTCAGAAAAATATTACTTCTGTGTTGTACATATATAGACTTTTTTCCTTGTTATTATTTCCTAAACAATATGGTACAATGGCTACTTACACATTATAGTAGATATAATAAGTAATCTAGAGATGGTTTACAGTATACAAGAGGATATGAGTAGGTTATATGCAGAAACTAAACCATTTTATATAAGGGTCTTGAGTATCTGCAGATTTTGGTAACTGGGGAGTTCTGAAACCAGTTCCTCATGAATACTGAAGAGTAACTATGTATGCTTATGTATTTAAAGGAACTTTCTAAGGGAGTGTCTAAAGAGAAAATTGGAAGATCAATAAATAAGCTTTAGGAACACTTCAGAAGAAATTATTTAACATTTAGGTTCCCAGAAGCCTTATTTCATCTTTTGATTTTTATTTACTTAGTTTGAACAGTACATTTTAAAAGCTGTTTTAAGATATAGTTTTAAGCACAGTAGTTTAAAAATAATTGTTTAAATCAATATATCCCAATCTATTTTGATCTGATTCTAAAATCATAATATTCTGATTTTTTCCTAACTTTTTCTAGATTGCTGTGCTAAGGAGGCAACAACGTATGATAAAAAATCGAGAGTCGGCTTGTCAGTCACGCAAGAAAAAGAAAGAATATATGCTAGGGTTAGAGGCTAGATTAAAGGCTGCCCTTTCAGAAAATGAGCAACTGAAGAAAGAGAATGGGTCACTGAAACGGCAATTGGACGAAGTTATATCAGAGGTGAGTGTGATGGAGCCTGCTAAGATGGGTTAAAGTTGTTTTTTCTTATAAATTAATAAACTTTTACATCTTAAATGATATAAAACAATAGTGCCAGGAAAACAAGAGTACGATAAGTCCAAAAACATTTTTCAATAGGATAAAATTTGAAAGATGATCTTTTGAACTGTACTTCCCAATCTATTTAGAAGTCTTCTTCTTTTCTTAGGTTTCTCCTAACTCATTACCTTGGTACCTTCTATACTCCTGACTAAGTGACTCAGATTGAGACTCCTGGATAGTCCTATGAGGGCTTCCCTTTTAAAAAAGAAAATATAAAGTAAAATGTTATCTTTTCTCTGTCTACCTGCACTGCTTTTTGCCTTCTGTTGTCATACTGCTCCCAGGGTTAATCATCTCTCCTCAGTTCTGTTCATAAAATCTGCTGCCTTAGGATTTCCCACTGCAGTGGAGTTCTGAACCAAATAGATACCTATTCAGTGGGATTTCTTATACTGTTTTTTCTATCTTAACCCCTGAGCACATGGTAACACTCCAGTGCATTGGTGAAAACAGTGATTTTAAAGACAGGGAGACAGACTACACAAGTGATTCAAAATTCTTTGGGGATTCATGAAAATATAAAACTATTGAATTCTCTGCTCTATTTGTTTCTCTTTGACTTCTCTCTTTTGGAAAAGAAATCTTGGAAGGCTCTACTTCAGTATTTCGAAAAGAACTATTTTCTCAACTTTGAGTTTTGTTTTTGTTTTTAAATAAGAAAAGGCATTCATATAGCTAGTAAAGAGGAAAGTTTTCTTTTAAGGTAATGCTTTTTGTGAGATTGATATGTAGTTTAATTGTATTTCATGTGGTCATTTCCTTTAGAACCAGAGGCTTAAAGTCCCTAGTCCAAAGCGAAGAGCTATCTGTGTCATGATAGTTTTGGCATTTGTAATACTGAACTATGGCCCCATGAGGTAAGTATGTAGCTATTTGTTTTGGATAATAATGTAAAAATTGGAATACTCATTGTTTGTTATTCTTTAGCTCTAGTAGTAATCTAGAGATAAACTGATATGTTTAGAACAAAATCAGCATCCTAGATACGTAGGGATACGTGAAGAGTAATTGGATAGGAGCCATACCTTCAAATATATCATGATCTAACTGGGAGAAGAGACATGTAACTATGGTATAATATGGTGAGTATAATTACTGCAGTATGAACAAAGTACTGAAAGAACATAAATGAGAGTGCAGGTTCTTAGGGTGACAGTTTATGACATATTGATAACTGTAACAACACATTTTTTGTTGAATGATTGAATGACAAGGGAAATCCCCAATGAGGAATCTGAACTTTGAAGTGTAATACCAGTTTTCCAGATGGAAAGTGTGGGAAAGACATGTCAAATAGGGGAAACAGCATGTTTAAAGGCACCATGATGAAATGGTATGACGTTTTCAGAAAAAAGTGAAAAGTTTGGTGTCTCTTACAGATACAAGGAGTGTGCATGAGCCCCTTGGGCATATATGGAGCCAGATAATGAAGGGCACTTTTATACAATGAGACATCCCTAAGTTTTTAGGCAGAGGGTAATGTAATCAGCTTTGTGTATCTGGGAGATGACTGTGAGGGTTATATTGAGAATGGACTGGATCAAAGGGAGAGTAGTGGCAGAGACCATTGCTTTCTTTCAGGTAATAAATGAGAGTCTAAACTTGAACCATGGCTATCAAGGATGAACTATCTCAGATACAGATTCTGAGATTTAATACCTGGTACAATGAGGACATAAGGAAGAAAAAAAGGGAAATTAAAGATAATTCCAAAATTTCTATGTTAAGAGACTGAATGGTGATACAGTTATCTGAAGTAGCAATCAGAAACATGGACAGTTTATGATGACAATACAGTTTTTATTTTTAGCATGGGAAGTTTGGGACAGTGACTGAGTACTGACATTACTGTTATGGACACATAGGTAGATAGTGGTAGTGGAGTAAATGAGATTATCCAAGGAGAATGAGTAGACAAAGGAGAGTAATAAGAACATGAACAGGGGCTGGGGATATAACTCAGTTGGTAGAGTGCTTGCCTAGCGTGCATAAGGCCTTGGGTTCAATATTCAGCACCACCAAAAAAACAAAAAAGAACATGAACAATAGAACAAGAAAATCAGAGCAAACAGGGTTAGGGACAGAATCAAAGAAATGGTTTTCTTAAGCTAAGATAAAAAGAATTTCAAGGTGGTCTTGGGCAATGGTATCATATGCTGCTGAGAGTTTGGGAGAGGCAGAAAATGGAATTTGATAATTAACAGGTCAATGGTAGTCTTGAAAAGCAGATTTATTAGGGGAAGACATGGAGTCTAGCTTAGTTAGTTGAAAACTGAAAGGAGCTATGAGTTGAATAATTTTCTCTCTCTTTGTTATTAGGCAGTATGGGGGATTGAGTCCAGGGGTGCTTTACCAGTGAGCTAAACACCCAGCTGTTTTATTTTTTATTTTGAATAGGGTCTTGCTAAGTTGCCAAGGCCAGCCTCAAATTTGTGATCCTCCTGCCTCAGCCTCCACAGTAGTTGGGATAATAGGCATGTGCCACCATTCCTGGTGAATAATCTTTTTTTATTAATGAAGTTAGTTATGAAGATTATCAAGCTGTAGAGAAAGTTGTTATAAACCCACTTAAACCCATTGTCTAGCTTCATTAATTATCAACATTTGCCAGTTTTCCTGAAAAGACTTTAGGAAGTCAAGACAGTGAGTATGGACTATCCTTTAAAGAACTTTGGGATAAAAAGGTGATAAGAAAATGGCAGGATTAAATAGTTTCTTTTTAGGCTATAAGAAACTTTAGTGGATGCTCATTTAGCTTTTGGTTAATTTTTAGTGAAATTTACTTCTTAGAAATCATTACGTGTTTAAAACTAATTATGTTATCTTCCTTTATTTTTCTCTCCCTGCTGCAAGCCTGCAACCAGACTTAACTGTCCTAATTCTTGACCTATTTGTCCTATGATTTCGTTTTCAAATCCTCTCACGGCTCCAATTCCTCTCAAACTGACTTGCTTTAGTGTTCAGCCTTACAAAAGGCTTTGTGCTTGTCACTGATGATCAGTGTACATGTTGGAAGGTGATATCCTGGTCTGAATGCATTTCCTCAGATATATTCTGACCTATGTAGAATGTAGTGAAATACTTACTTCCAAAGAGTCCCCCCCCCCCACTTTTTTTCCCCATGCAGCCTTATATCATTGCCTCTATCATTGAGTCACCCCTTTTTTATTTTGAGACAGTGTCTCACTAAGTTGCCCAGGCTAACCTTCAACTTGAGATCCTCTTGCATCAGCTTCCTGAATTGCTAGGATTATAGGCATGTGTCACTGTACTGGGCATATGTTGACTTTTTTTTTTAAGAGTGTATTATTAACTTAAATTCTGTATCTTTTTCACAGGTTTGATAGATACCTTAGGTCACTCTCATTTTATTTCTGGATAGCATCTGACAGCTAGTATATATTTTATATTAAGCTTTTGTTGTCATTTGGTATCAGTACAACTCTCTAGAGCATTTGATATTTCATCATGGAATCACCAGAGACCCATATACTGTTAAATGAATGAACTAAGATAATTCTTTTTTAATTTTTATTTATTTATTTATTTTATTAGTTGTTCAAAACATTACAAAGTTCTTGACATATCATATTTCATACATTTGATTCAAGCGGATTATGAACTCCCATTTTTACCCTATATACATAATGCAGATTCACATCGGTTACATAACCACTTTTTTGAACTAAGATAATTCATTGTGAAAATGTCATAAATTTATGAGTTTATCTATTTAAAAAAATTCACACTGTACTAGACATATTATATAGGATATGCAAAAAAGACACCTGAAATAAACATTTGAATTATTAAAAATGTTTTTACTACATTCTTCATCATATGCCATTGACATTTTGCCCATATTCGTCATTTAAAGTTATTCTGACATTTTAATTTTTGTGTTTGTTTCTGGGTTAATAAAGGAGAAAAGAAACATGCTAATTTAAACTTTATCTTCCTGAATTAGGAAGTTGAAAATAAATTCTGCAAATAAACTGAGCCAAATTTCCATATAGTGAATACCAGGAAGACTCAAAACAAAGCATGTTATACTGGTATTCCCCAGTATCAAGGAAGACTCCATGGTTATAGGACATTTGGTAGAACTTCTCCAGCTATACTTAAGGCTAATTATCCAAGTTGTCTCTCTTCAAAAAATTATTTACATATTTAATTGACACATCATCGTTGTACATATTTATAGGGTACAGTGTGATATTTCAATGTATCAGTACAATGTATAATGATCATATTAGGGTTATTGGCATATTTGTCACCTGAAACATTTATCATTTGTGCTGAGAACATTTAAGATCCTTTCTACTAGATATTTTAAATTATACAATTAATTGTCATCAAACACAATTACCTACTGTGCTATAGAACATTAAAAGTTATTTCTCTTATCCACTTATAACCTTGTACCAAATTACCATCTCTCCATCCTTCCTTCTCCTTCCCAGCCTCTAGTAACTACTTTTTGACTCTCTACTTCTATAAGATCAACTTTTGTGTGTGTGTGGTACTGGGGATTGAATCCAGGGGCACTTAACTACTGAGCCACATCCCCAGCCCTTTTTATTTATTTATTTTTTGAGACAGGGTTTCCTAAGTTGCTGAGAGCTTTGCTAAATTGCCGAGGCTGGCTTTGAATTTATAATCCTCCAGCCTCTGCTTCCTTAGCCACTGGAAGTACAGGCGTGTGCTATTTCGCCCAGCTATGAGTTCAACTTTTTAATTTTAAGATGTCTTTTATTTAATAACTTTTTTTCCTTGACTTTCTTCCATGGCCTGTTGAGGAAAATTGAGCCATAGGTTGTAATCATTGTCTTGTATTTAAATATTGGATTTTAAAGGTAACCATTAGTAACTTTGCCCTGAAGATTCTAACTTTCATGATTGCAGAAGCTGTTCCTTTTCCTTTTTTATGTATCTTAATGTTTTAATTTATTTTTAATTACCAGAGTAATAAATGAAAGTAGAATAATGATTACTGGGGATTGGAAAGGGTGCAGGTAGAGTAGAAAAAGTATGGTTGGATTTGATCAGGGGATGCTTGTATGCAGTTGTGGAAATACCACAAAAACAATTTTTAGAAAGTATAAAACTATGTAGAGTTAAAAAATGAAAGGCACCAGGTGCAGTGGCACATGGCTCGGGAGTCTGAGGCAAGAGGATTGCAAGTTTGAGGCTAGTTTGGAAAATTTAGAGAAATCCTGTCTCAAAATAAAAAATAAAACAGGATATCTCAATGGTAAAATACCTCTGGGTTCAGTCTCCAGTACCAAAACAACATCATCAACAACAAAAAAACTAAACAAATAAAAAGACTTCATGACTACCTTTCTCCTAACCCACTTCCTTTTCTCCAGTCTACTCTTATAATTATTTTTTTTTTACAGATTTTCAAACCTACATTATTTTTTTTAAACCTACATTATTTTACTAGTTGAGTCAGAATATATATATATATATATGCCACAGTCTGGCGTGCTGGTGAGAGTTTGGGAATAAAGAGTTGCTTTTTTGAACCTACAAGTGCTTCGTGGCGGCTCGGTTATTTGTGCCCAGCCAGACTGCGGCGCATATATATATATATATATATATATTTTTTTTTTGGTGGGAGAGTAGAAGTTTATTGTATTAGACAAAGGGGAATGAAGGGAGGGGAGATGAAATGAGAATAGGAAAGACATCAGAATGACTTGGACATAACTTTCCTATGATCATGTATGAATACTCAACCAGCGAAACTCCACATCATATACAAACACAAGAATGGGAAGTCATACTCCATATATGTATAACATGTCAAAATACCTTCCATTGTTATGTATATCCAAAAAGAACAAATTAA